TGTCTTCTATATTGTCTGCAAGTTTCACTTTGCTGCCTGCTCTGGATGGGAAGTTACGAATTTTTAAAGAGGATTGTGCAGCTGAGCAAAAAATGTAATTTCTTCACCTCTGCTCACCATGCGCGCAAAAATGAGATTTTAAAGGCCTTTGAATTAAACTTTCATGGTTTTCACAGTGAAGTGTGTTCTATAGCGTCTAGAAGTTTCAAGTTTTATTGTGATTTGAATGAAAGTTTCAGGGTTTGCAGAGTCAAGTGTTCAGCGTCAGTTTTAACGTAGAGCGTGCAGCAGGATTATTATAGATAGATAGAATAATCAAAGAGAGTTTAGGGTGATTTAGAAGAAACTCTCAGGATGTTTAAAGCCAAATGTCTTCTATGTAGTTAGCAAGTTTCAGGCTGCTCGCTCTCCTGGATCGAAACTTTCGAATTTTTAAAAAGATCGTACATTTGAACGAAAACTTAGTCTAACTGCGCATTAGAGGAAAAATTCAATTTCTATCACTGTGTTTAAGGAGCGCGCAAAATTATGTTTTGCGCGATTCAAATTAAATTCTCAGGATTGTTAGAGCTAAATGTCTTCTATAGAGTGAGAAAATTTCATGTTGCCACTTGATCTGGTTTGGAAGTTCAAGTTCGTGCAAATGCTCATTTAGGTGAACATTTCAACTTTTACCACTGCGTTTACACAGCGCATAAAAAATACATTTCAGTGCGATTTGAAAGAAACTCTCAGAATTTCTAGAGAGTTACTTGTCTTGTATAAGATGCGCGAGTTTCCTGTTGCCAACTGTTCTGGTTTGGAAACCATGATTTTTTAAAAAGACTTGGAAGGAGAACTTCAATTTGTACCCTTGTGCTTAGAGAGCGCGCAAAAATCAGCTTTCATTACGATTAGATTGAAAATTTTGTGGTTTTCAGAGTTCAGTGTGTTCTATAGGGTGAGCAAGTTTCACGTGGCCGTCTGATCTGAGTTGGACGTTACGAATTTTTTAAGAAGACAGCCCCTTTGTGTAAAAATTTCAATTTCTCCCAGTGCGTTTAGAGAGCGCACAATCCCATTTGGGTGCGTTTTAAATAAAACTCTCAGAATTTCTAGAAATATGTATCTTCTGTAGGTTGGGCGATTTTCATGTCGCCACTTGATCTTGTTTGGGAGTTATCAACTTTTGAAACAAACCGCGCATTTCAGCGAAAATTTCAATTTCTATCACTGCGTTTAGATAGCCGCAAAAATTATCTTTTCGGGCAATTTAATATTAACTCCCAGAATTTCTAGTGCTAAGTGCCTTCTATAGGGTGAGTGAGTTTTATGGCGGCACATGATCTGGGTTGCAAGTTGTGAATTTTTAAAGGAGACCGTGCATTTGAGTGAAAGTTTTAAATTGTACCTTTGCGTTTAGAGAGCACGCAAAAATCAGCTTTACAAGCGATTTAAATGAATCTTTCAGAATTTCTAGAGTTAACTGTCTCCTATAGGGTGAACGAGTTTCACGTTACAGTCTGCTTTGATTTTGAAATTACGAATTTTTAAAGCAACTGGCGCATTTGATTGGTAACTTCAATTTCGCCCACTATGTTCAGAGAGAGCGCAAATCTGAGGTTTTTGTGCAATTTAATTTAAACTCTCAGGATTTCTATAGTTAAGTATCTACTTAAGGCTTGCCTGCGCCTGCTGTTCTGGGTTGCAAGTTATGAATTTTTAAAGCAAACCGCGCATTTGGGAAAGAACTTCAATTTCGGCCCTTGTGTTTAGAGACCCTGAACAAGATAGATTTTATTGCGATTCGAATGAAACTTTCGTAGATTCCTACGCTCTGTGTCTTCTATAGAGTGGACGAGTTTCATATTGGCACCTGCTCAGGATGGGAAGTTATGAATTTTTAAAGAAGGCCGCACATTTGATTAAAATGTTCTCTTCTCTCAAGTGCGTTTAAAGAGGGCACAAAAATCAGGTTTTATAGTGATTCGACTGAAACTTTGTCGGCTTTCAGAGTTAAGGGTCTTCTATAGGGTGGGCTAGTTTCATCTTGTTACGTGATCTGGGTTGGAAGCTATGAATTTTTAAAGAAGACCGCGTGAATTTGAGTGAAAACCTCCATTTCTACCCTTGCGTTTAGATAGCGACTTTCATTTCGCCACACGATCTTCTTTGGTAGTATACATTTTTGGAACAAACCGCGCATTTCAGCGAAAATTTCAATTTATTTCACTGCGTTTAGAGAGCCGCAAAAATTATGTTTTCGTGAAATTTAATAGAAACTCTCAGAATTTCTAGTGCTAAGTGCCTTCTATAGGGTGAGTGAGTTTTATGGTGCCACATGATCTGGGTTGCAATTTGTGAATGCAATTTTTAAAGGAGACCGTGCATTTGAGTGAAAGCTTTAAATTGTACCTTTGCGTTTAGAGAGCACGCAAAAAGCAGCTTTAAGAGCGATTTAAATGAATCTTTCATAATTTCTAGAGTTTACTGTCTTCTATAGGGTGAACGAGTTTCACGTTGCCCTCTGCTCTGATTTTGAAATTACGAATTTTTGAAGCAACTCACGCATTTGATTGGTAACGCAAAACTGAGGTTTTTGTGCAATTTAATTTAAACTCTCACGATTTCTATAGTTAACTATCTACTTAAGGGGTGGCCAGTTTCACAGCGCCTGCTGTTCTGGGTTAGAAGTTAGGGATTTTTAAAGCAGACCGCGCATTTGAGGAAAAACTTCAATTTCTGCCCTTGTGTTTGGAGACCCTGAACAAGATAGATTGTATTGCGATTCGAATGAAATTTTTGTAGATTCCAAAGCTCGGTGTCTTCTATAGAGTGGACGAGTTTCATATTGGCACCTGCTCTGGATGAGAAGTTATGAATTTTTAAAGAAGACCGCACATTTGATTAAAATGTTCTCTTCTCTCAAATGCGTTTAAAGAACGCTCAAAAATCAGGTTTTATAGTGATTCGACTGAAACTTTGTCGGCTTTCAGAGTTAAGTGTCTTCTATAGGGTGGGCTAGTTTCATTTTTTTTTTCAACTTTTAAAGAAGCAGCGCACTTGAGTGAAAATGTCGACTTTTACCACGGTGTTTAGAGAGCGTACAAAAATCACATTTTGATGCGATTTCAGTGAACTTTTAGGACTTCTAAAGCTCAGTGTCTTCTGTAGGTTGAGCAAACAATTCTGTAGATCCTGTTGCCAGCTGGTGTGAGTTGGAAGTTAGGAACTTTTGGAAAAGACCGCTCTTTTGGAAAAAAGCTATTTCTCCCAGTGCGTTTAGAGAGCGCCCACAAATCAGGTTTGAGTGACATAAATGAAACTTTCAGAATTTCTAGAGTTAAGTGTCTTCTATAGGGTGGGCGAGTTTCAGCTGGCCACATGCTCTGAATCGGAAGTTACGAATTTTTAAAAGAGAAGTTGCAATTCCATACAGCTGGAACGGACTTCTCTTTCAAAATAGAAAAAGTGCTCACCTTCGTAGTCCTCAGGAACATACATGAGCTGATCCACCACTCGGTCGCCATCAGCTTGCTCAGGAAAGAGACGGACTGGTCCTTTGCTCTTGGAGGGGTACCGTGTGCCTCCTCTCAGAAAGAAGGGCTTCTCAGGTGGTTCCCCTTTCTCCTCCCCCTCATCCTCCCGCTCCCGTTCCAGCACCTCCTTTATCTACAAACGACGTCACAGAGGGCCGAGTGGCGGGAGGGCGCAACGCATACCAACCTCTTCCCTACGCTCCTGCACTTTGGGAGTTTGCGTCTCCTGCTCATGTTCCAGGGCGGCGCTCTGCGGACTTCTGGAGAAATACGAGAAGTTCAACCGGCTGCCCACCAGCAACGTCACACTGATGATGATCAGGAAGGCGAGGAAGAACTTGCGTGGCGTCAACCGGGGCGGCATCTTAAAGATGCTTCATTACCTTCAATGAGGATCGAAAATGAGTGACACGTTGAGTCCAGGTGATAGGTGGCTGCGTCTGATCTTATCAGCCAATTAAATGGAGTGGAACAAGTGAGAGCGCGCACGAGTTGATAACATCCAGCAGGCTTTTGCTTCTGGTGCTGGGTAATTCGATAGGTGGAAAATGCGATAAATTGGGATTAATTACGATTGTTGCGTTATTAGATTCATATACAAAGTAATTTGCTCTTCCGCTGCCCAAGTTGCGAAATCACGTAATTGCACAGAGTGGCCTAAAGTAATAATTGGCCCTCGTCAACGAATTTCAGCTGAAAAGCGCCACTTACCGTCAGGTCAAGTGCAAACTGAATGATGAAAACCATTATCAGGGAAAACGCGACATAAAACTGGCATTTTACGCGGTTGAAATGGGAGAATCGACTCCAAATTGGGTAAAGTGTTAGGCAAATACCGTTATCACTCGGGCAGGTATTTATGTTTATTGATAACAAATATTCGTAAAAACACTTTTGCATTCGCTTTCAGCCGGCGGGCGCAACGGCTTGGCTTAGCAACTAGAGCAAGTGGCATTTTTTGCTCGAATTCCTCCCTTCAACGGGCAAACTTACCGGAGAAAAGGGGCGACTGGTGCGGGCATTATCACGACTGGCGTCCATCGGAGGGCCGCATCTCGGCCCGGAAAATCCATAATGGGAAATGGGGCCTGCGCTTGCCGGCCGGAAAACTCCGGCTCCTTCTACCGGCGATGTTTGCGGGGAAAGTTATGGATTTTCCGGTTCCTATCGCGCCCTGTATTCTCTTCTAGTCGGGCAATTCGTGCTGGTATCGCCTGCCTTAACACAACTGGACTGAGAGCTGATAATCGATGGGCAAACGAAGCGACGCTCTATTGATAAGTGCGAATTATTTGGACACATATTGGGCAATGAAGGTGCCAAGTGATTGTCTTGATCAGGGTAACCGTTAGTTTACGGCAATTGAATGCGAGGTAAACGCACTTTTCCACTGGGCAGCTGCCATCGATTAATTTGGGCTCAAACTGATGCCATTTTCCAATGGGCCCAAATGCGAAACAGCCAGAAATTTGTCAAAGTCAATGTTTTCGAGCTTCGGAAGTTTGCTGCAACTCTGAAGATGCATTTTTATCGGTTTCGAAACGCCCTGGTTTTAGGCAAACTCGGAACTTTCAACCGCTTGCTAGATATAGAGTGTTGTAAACATCGACTCCTCAATTTTTTTGGTTCTAAAACAGCCTAAGAGATGAAAGTTGGCCCTTGAGACTGGCCACCAAAAAGGTAGTTAAGTTGGGTGCTTAAGCGTTTTGGAACTTTTAAACGCCCGCAAAGGGGGCGAAGCCCTCTGCAATCCCAAATTTTGTATGCAAAAATATTCCTCGTAAAGTTCTCTGGCGAAAAGGTCCTAAAGATCGATGCAATATTTGCTGCCGTTGTCGAGATATAGGCCAAAATTGGAATTTTCGCTCCTATCTCTTTAGAGGTTAAGAATTTGCGCACATACCTGCATACTAAAAGACGGTTCGCTAGGCGCGTAGGTGAAGTTCCATTTTTTAACTGTAACTGAGATCTAGCGGTTTTAAGATTCGGGCCACTGAAAAGGGGCGAAGCCCTACTACGCTGCCAAGTTTTTTTGCATCAAAATGTCGCTCAAAAAATGCTCTTTTGAAAAGCTCCTCACGATTGATGCAATATTTCCAGTAGTTTTGAAGATAAGCAGCATTTAAACTTTGGGGCTCACCTAAAAACGTCTTCCTTTACGGAAAGCTTTACCGGGAATTGACCCGCATTCTGCTGCAATTCGCCTTTTAAGACCATGAATATCAGCAGGCTGTGTTTTATGATCAATGGACTTAAGATGTCCCCAAAGAAGAAGTCTAAGGGTGTTCAATCCGGTGATCTTGGAGGCCTTTCAATTGGTCCCCTTCTGCCGATCGATCTATCCGGGAATATCCTATCAATGTTAGGGAGGGTTCGAACATACACTATTATTTTTTGCAGGAAAATAGACAACATTTTGAACAACATATAAGATAGTGCGTAAGTAGATCCCATGGGTTTTATTGTAGAAATTTCTCTTCCGTAAATTTACTAATGTACACCAATTTGCGATTTCAAAGCTTTGGTAACAAATTATTAGTCCGAGTGTTTCAGGGGCGGATCCAGCTTTAAATTCAACGGGGGGCGGGGGGTTATGTAGAAAAAATACTTCTGTTGTCTATGAAATTAGAAAAATTATCATCGTTTTGTGCAAGGGTGGCGTAAGATTATTGCAAAATTTCATGTTTTCCGTCCCGTTTTTGCTCATTTCTCGGAGGCAAAATGAGCAAGAATGCTCATTTGTACGTCATTCTAGAGAGAAATAAATGGTCTTTTTA